AGGAACGGCCCAAAGGAAAGAAAAAACTGGCAAACAAAAAAAGTTGCCTGTCAATCTCACTTCTGTGACAGGCACATGCCAGAAGGAAACTAAGACGTTTTTAGAGGGTTAGATATTATTACAATCCAGCATAAATCCTGGATCGTTTGCTAAATGAAAATATATTTCACATTCCTGAAATGATAAAAATGTGCACCTTGTGATTCTACCTTATGAAGCAAAATACACTTCACAAAGATACTAGATCTCTACAGATATTTGGTCAAAGAGATGCTCAGCGCACATGTGACAGACCCCCAGTGCTCAAAATGTGGGAGGAAAGTAGGAGGGCCCTATATGAAAAACACAGTCCACATGACAAAAGGTGAAGAAAGTGGGACCTCTCTGGCTCCAAGCAAACCCATGGTTAGTTACAGTCCAAACCATGACTTACAGTATGCATATCACTAACTGCAATGTCATACTTTACTTTCTTCACTAATGTTTTATTCTGTATTGTTTCATCTGATGTTTTAATGCTTTATAAGCTGCTTTGAGATTTATTCGTAAAAATATTAAGCAGTAAAGAAATGAAATGAAAATTAGTGATGACACACGCATGCGGAAGGGCACAAAAACAAGGTACCAAATGTTTGGCAGCATAGTTGCTGATTTACTTCCAAGCTAAAATATCATATTGCAATAGCATTAAACGTTGCTTCTCGTGACAACTGACTCTGGATGACACAAAAGCGTAAGGTTCTGCTAAAGTTGTGAGCAGAAGGCACAATGGTGGTTTATTTGCTGTGTAATTTTCTTGTGGACGTCCAGTGAGAACACCTAGCTCAGGCATAGCCAAACTCGGCCCTCCAGCTGTTTTGGGACTACAACTCCCATCATCCCTAGCTAACAGGACCAGTGGTCAGGGACGATGGGAATTGTAGTCCCAAAACAGCTGGAGGGCCAATTTTGGCCATGCCTGACCTAGCTGCTTGACACTGGTAAAATTCTGAAGCAAGAAAAGAAGAGCATAAAGATGAAAAAGATATGGGTGTAGTAAAGTGAATTAAGCTATACGACGTCAGTTCACAAACAGAAAATAACCTATGCATAGGAATACGCCTCCCTCTTGCCACTATTGGAGGCCTCAGGCTCCACCTCCATTGCTCCCCACCAATCTGTCTGCAAACTTATTTTCTTAAAGACTCCACCTTTGTTTCAGCAACAGTCAAAGAAGGGATCACTGCGTCAGAAGAACAGGTTCAAATGCTAAAGAAATAGGTTTGTACATAATAACAGGAGCAATGGCTTCTCTTTTTGAAACCAAGCCAAGCACCTTGCCAACCAGTCTGAAAGCTGACGGAAGGATGAACCTCCGTCCCCTAAACCATCTCTCAGAATCACCAACTGTTAGCGGAAGACTGCCATCCATCACAAAGCAACTGTAAATCAAGCCCGAGGTAACTGCGCTAGCTCTTTTTTGTCTATCTATGTTCCAAAACAAGCAAGCAAACAAAACAACAGGCAGAGAAAAACTGGTGAAGGGTAGTAAGACAACTTTCCATGTCCCTTCAGGCTGGAACAAACTCCATTGTCATGTGGGGAGTTCATAGGTTTGAAAACATCCCCACATCTCCGATAGAAGCTTGCTATTGAAGGGAGAATACAGAGAGCCTTCAAAAAACCAATTTAACATATGAAAACTGTTGATGATGCAACTACATGGAAGGACTGCGCCACTTCGATGGCTGAACATGTGAAATGGGCCTCCTTCACCATCATGAAAACTCTCTCTTTTTTTGTAAAAGAAGATGCCACCTTAATAACTTTAAATGTTTTGTAATGAATTTATGGTTTCTATATTTAACCCCCCCCAAAAAAAGAGGCTGGTTTTAAAACCCCAAACCTTTATGCCTGCAAAAAGACCATTTTTTTAAAAAAAAAATTTTTTTGAGATTGATACCAAAGTGGTGAGGATCACCAGGGAGAATTTAAAAGCAGTTTGTAGATGGATCAACTCAGTTACTGAATTCAGTGCTGACAAAGTCAAGCTGTTACTCACTGCAAGAAATAATCTGAGCTATTTATTTTGCATTTGAGGTGTGATAAATTAAGCTACCAATTGTTCAAAGAAAAAGGATTCACATCTCACTATCAAGAGCTCAATCAATCAATGCATTTTAACAACAAAGGCAAACATTTTGTCGTATTGAAATAGAAAGCAACATGGAGAACAACAGCTCATTGTATAAAACTTATTGCATCCTGTTCAACCCAAGTAATTTATAGAGTTCAGTACCCCAACCTCTAAAGGTTTGCTTTTTTAAGTAAGTGATGAACATAATTAATAAGGAACTACACAAGCACTGTTGCAATGAAGTTCAATAGGGCTGAATCAGAAAGTTTTGGTGCATTGCATTCTTACTCATTCATAAATATTCTCAACTACAGTGCTTACTCAGACTATTCAACTTGAATAAATATAAAATAGCAATCCAAAAAGAATGTATCAGATAAATACAGAAAAAAATGAAATGAAAATAGTGTACTTAAAAGCAATACAATTTAAAACTAGAATTATTATTTTTAAGCAAACAAACCATGGTGAATGTCTGTGGATCTACCTCTGTACGAAGCCCATGAACTTATTCAAAATACATTAGACATTCATAAGACTAGATCACCCACATTCATATCAGATGAGCTGAAATTGTTTTCACTAAAGTGTTTATTGCATGTATAGATTAATCCTGTCCTTAAATGGTGGAAGAAATTTGCCGTGTGGAGAAAAGGATCCCCTGTCAACTGATTCTCATGTGCCTGCCACCAGCTTCTGCCAGGCTAAAGGGGCAATTTCCTGGTTTGGCTTCAAAATTTATTTGTTCCTGACCCTTGGCAATGGAGCACATTCACAGCTGTGGCACATAAGAATGGTGATCATACTTGGACTCAAGTCTATTTAGCACCACTGAAGTTTAAGGCTGTAAACATCCAGCCTTCCTTCAACTGTAGGGAAGTTCTAACAACATCAATGTGAGCGCTTCAGAATAAATTACTGTGGCCTAAATATGTTTAACACACATACTCTGGGCTAGAATCTAAGATGACTCCAGTGAGCTGTGTCCCAGTAAAATTCAGATGAATGTCACAGCTGCTCTGTTGGATTCTACCAAAGGTCCATCTAGTCAAGCATCTTCTTTGCCAGATTGGCCAACCAGATGCCTCCAGGAAGCTTGCAAAAAGGCAATCATGTTGCGCTACCGGTTTGTCCTCCTACCTTTGCACAAGCAACCGGTGTCCAGAGGAATAAGGATGGAATATGGATTCTCCATTTAGCCACTGCAGCAAATAGACCCATTTCCCATGAAATTGTCTAATCCCATTCTAAAGACATCTAAGCCTATTGGAACTAATTCAAGAGTGGTGGGCTTTTAATCATCTTGAGAAGGTAACTTACATATAGAAAAGACCATCAGGTACAATGGCCATTGCTGACATGAGTTAAAAGAACCTGAAAGACTACTGCAGCGAGAGGCCCTTTGACTACAGGCAGCAGTTCCCCAATGTTAGTATGATATTAGAATTCAAAGAAATCAAACAAAGCAACTGTCCATACATTTGGCATGAATTCAAGATTTAAATACAAGAAGAACACTGCAATTTGTTTTGGCTGATCTGATCAAACTACCTAAATCTCACGGTCAGTATACAAGTGGTGACATTTAACCTCATTTCATCATGCTATAGGACTCTTAAGGTCATCACTCAAGGATAAATTCAATACTCCATCTTCACATGATACCTTTTTTATTACAATATCCAAAAAGCTGGGTAAGCAAGTTTCTGGGATCATCAAGGTCCTTTTTTTTTCTTTTCAATTTTCAGGAATGTGCCATCAAGACTATATTTAAAACCATAAGAAGGTTAAAAGTAAAGAAAAAGGAAAAAGAAAGCATTTTCTTCATATAACATTCTGTGTGTCTTACTACCAATCACATCACCGTTTGTAAACCCTGAATTTTTGTTCCGTTATGCATATATAAAACGTATGCATGTTATGTGTTGGAAGCCCCACCCGCCCATAATTAGCTATGTTTATTAAATGTCTGTATTAGTGTCAATCAGCTACAGATACATATTACTTTAAGAATTAAATACATAATTGTTTAATTCAAACAAGCAGAAGGGCAAGAAAAGAAAGCATTATGTGGATGGCACATTTGGTTGTAGATTACCAAAACATTCAACCATTACAATTCAATGATTCTCTAAGTAATCAACTTTCAATGAAACATCTCTGTTGCAATTACATGTCAAAGTATGCTAGATAGTTTTCTTATTACTACAATTTTTACCGTAGTAGTTTAAGAAGTACTATTACAAAATGCTTTAGTTAGTGTACTCTTCACAAAGAATCAAGGAGGCAATGTAATAGCTGAGTAGAGAATGTAAAGAGTGCTTCTAGAAACTAGGAATTTCTGGAGTATACTACTTGGTAAAGCAAAATAGCTACAGAACTCACAGCCACAATTGTTATGTCTACTATATTTCACTTAGTTAGCTGCAGGTTCAGTGCATTCAAACTGTGCCCAGTCTCTTAATGATGAGTTCTGCCAGCGTGAGCTATCTGAACAAGTTAACACTGTTTTTTAATTGAGAAAAAACCCCTTGTTTATGTGAACTAACTATGTAAACGTACACAGAAGAGAAGAGCGTAGAACCCAGGGAAGAATGGCCACTTAAGTGATATTTTCAACCTGAGGGAAACGTGAAGCAACCAAATTTTCAAGAGAGAGGAAAAAAAGACAAAGTAAGCAAATAAGAGAGAGAGAGAGAAAAAAAAATGGGGTGGGGAAACAAAAGAGAGAATATAATCAACAGAGCAAATACTTTAGAAAGAGGTCATTCTCTGAAGACTGTCTCAGACTGGCGTAGACTGCTCTGCTCTATAAAAGTGAATTTAGGACCTAAGGCTTGTAAGTTATAAGAGGCCCCCAATAGGCCCAAGTCCATCTTCAATGTCACTGAAGTGCTTTCACAAGATATAACTTTTCCCCATGTTCACTGGTGAAGATAGGAGCCTTTTTGTAGTGTTCCACCAACTCATCCATAGTATTAAATCGACGCTGCCCAATGCAATAGACACTGTCCACCAGCTGCACCTTGAAATGTTTATTCTTCCCCGATGCCTTTAGAGATACTGAAAAGTCACTGGGCTGCAAAGAGAAAAGGGAAAGGAAGTGTTTAATGATAATATCAAATATGCAATTTTAAAGCCTGCTATGTAACGAGGTGAATGAGCTGCGAGTGAGCTTCCCCCCACTGGGCTCAGCGCTCTGGGTACTTTAAAATACGAATTACTATCATCATAATCAGCATCTTTAGTTAAGCGAAAGAACCTCAACAGCACCATTTACAGATATAAATTATGCACCTTGAATGCAAACACTGTTGGTTTAAAGCCAGAGGCCGACAAGTGTCAAGAGAAGTATGTCTACATGCATTCGGAAATACCAAATATTCCTATGCAGAAGGAGTCTAGCTAAAGCAGCGTGCCTTTTGAATCCATGGCCACAAGAGGGCCTTTCTTGATTTATTCTGTAGCAAGTAGCTTTTATACATATAAAAAGAGCTAACAGTTCATCCTATTTAACTTTAAACAACATGGCACATCTGCAGTATTGTATTACTCACCAAAAGAAGGTAGTTAAAATCGGTATCTCTTATTCCACCATAAACTGAGCTGCCAACATTTCTTCAGGAATGGGTGTTTCAAACACCTGCTTTATTTTTTAGTGTGTATATTATACACTTGTGCAGACAGAATTTATTCCCTCTGCTTGGTCACCAGCACAGCACCCCTTTTTTCTGCCTCTTTTTAAAAGTATACGAGTTCCCGATATGCATTTCTGTGCCAGATTTATTTTGTTTACTACAATTAACTTCCCATCTGGTTTTACACATTTAAGGCCAATGTATTAAGCCAGGGTTGTATAAATGAGCAGAAGAAATAGCAATGTTAAATACTAGCAGACAAAACAATTCATTTAAGTTTGTGTGCCCAGCCATGGACTGCCAAGAGCTTCTTTCAAGCTATAGAACTAGGTAAGAAACAAAAGAATATATCCATTACTTGGGATGCTTATAAGGTTAGGATATAAAGAAGCACCTTTCCCCCTACTAATTTCAATTGGCAGCAACTACTGAAAAACACTGCGGTGTTAATTGATAATTGCCTATTATTTCAAATTGTTAGCCCCACCTTAACAATGAGGTCGACCGAGCTATATATTGCTCTTAGCTAAAAAGCAGTAACATAAATTTTACTGGCAGTTATTTTGGATTACACTCGGTTCATGGGTAGAGGTTTTCCACTACACTATTCCAGGCAATCTGGAAATTCCAGTGATTTAGACCCCTCTGGTTGTAGCTGTCTGTTCCAGACATTTTGTCTTCCACATCCAGCCCAATTTTCCTAAATTGCCAGCCAGCCTACACACTTCTGGCTGATTCCACACACCAGGAGGAAATAAGTACGCTTAGACAACTACCTGGAACCAAGGCAGAGAACATGAACTGTAACATCAAGTTATAGTTGTACCTTGGAAGTTGAAAGGAATCCATTCCTGAAGTCCGTTTGACTTCCAAAATGTTTGGAAACCAAAGTGCGGCTTCTGATTGGCTGCAGGAAACTCCTGCAGCCAGTCGGATGTTCGGCTTCCAAAAATAGTTCGCAAACTGGAACAGTCACTTCTGGGTTTGCGGCGCTTGGGAACGAAAATGTTCAAGAACTAAGCTGTTCAAAAACCAAGGTACGACTGTGTTACCCTACTGGTGTAATCCAAGGTGGTGTGTGTGTGTTTCAAAATATGAAAATGAGATAGGAAGCAAATGTCTCAGAAGAATCAAGAAAATTTCTAGGCTTTTCTATTTAAATAACTAAAACGGCTTAACAATCTCTGTCATTTTCCAGCAACAAATTCTATTAGAAAAAAAACATATCACTGAAATTACAAGGGATTAATTTATGGAAATCATAACTTAAGTACGAGAAACGACATCACTGGCTACTGGAACCTAATTTTTATATTATATTTATGTGACAACAAAAATGTAAGTTATGTGTCATTTGTCAAAATAGGAATCTGACAGATGAATAGTAGGGCAAAAGCACAGCTTCCCCCGGTCCTCCCTTCGAGAGCTGACTGGGTATGAACTGCCTTAGTGCTCTCCCGAAGACTGTGGCAGTTGGAAAGCCTTAGAGCAGCCATTTAAAGTAAAAGTAATTATAGGCAGAGCTGTAAGGAAACAAGACTGCAAGCCAGAGACACCTGCACCACGATTGCACTGTATTTCCCACGGTATTAGGGCAACAACATCAGCACTGTGCTGTGGCTGCTTTCTATGGTGGCAGCAGATAATTGTCTGGGAAAGAGGGTGGGAAGGGAGAGAGAGAGAGAAAGAATACCTTGAACAGGAGATGTGCAACTCCCCCAGCCTAATTATTAACAAGGCAGACAGGGAAAACGTAATAGGGCTTTTCTGTCACTTGAAATGAGTTCCTACTCAAGGACTGACATTAAAGCAATGATCGTCTTCCCAGATCCAAGATTTACTACCTAAATTTACATATAAAATACAAGTACGTGTCACTTTTCTTCCATCAGGCTACAAAAATGAGATCCTTTTGGGGTCCTTACGCATTTTTTTAAAAAAAGCAGCAAAAAGGCACTTTAGTTCTTTCGAGAGAGAAGCACAGTCAAATAGGGGAATCTGAAGAACTTGAACAGCTGCTGCAAAAATGTCAGGCTCCTGCTCTCCTCCTCCCCACCACGGGCTCATATTTTAGGTAACACAGGAAACTTGAAGAAAATGTAAAAGTAATTCAGCTTGTTTATTACTGTTTTCCCCTACAATTCAAATAGTTCCATTAAAGTCTAAAACCTCTTTTTTTTTTTTTTTTGCATCTTAGCACTGTCATCCTATATACTGCACTGAAGTTAAAATGCAGCCTAAAACTATTCCCTGCTGTCTGCCTTGAACTTGTTCCAAGAGTGTTTATTTTTATATTTTGTGTCTGTTTGCCTTTTTCGTTTCAGCTCTTGGCAGATATTTCTGCTCCTTTTCCCACTGGACATAGCTGCTACAGTCGGATGGCTCGCACGCAATCTTTCCCATGCTTGGGCTTCTGGAGTTGTAGAGTAGCTCACAGGCACTTTTAAGGGCACATCTGAACTGGTTATTTGCTAGGGGTCAATGCTTCTAAGCAGCACCTAGAAGACTTTGCCTGCACTATAATGAAGAGCCGACCTGCAACATCCACACTGGCATAATAACCTAAACAAATATGCATGATGATATTGTACAAGGATTAACTAAAACACAATGAAAACCCACCACCTGCTACTGTAAAAGGAAGTTGCTTGATAATAAAATTGTTGGAAAGTGCTTGAATATTTTAAATCGTATGGCGCAAAAGGCACGCGGGTGGCGCTGTGGTTTAAACCACAGAGCCTAGGGCTTGCCAATCAGAAGGTCGGCGATTCGAATCCCTGCGATGGGGTGAGCTCCCGCTGCTCGGTCCCAGCTGCTGCCAACCTAGCAGTTCGAAAGCACATCAAAGTGCAAGTAGATAAATAGGTACCGCTCCGGTGGAAAGGTAAACAGCGTTTCCGTGCGCTGCTCTGGTTCGCCAGAAGTGGCTTAGTCATGCTGGCCACATGACCCAGAAGCTGTACGCTGGCGCCCTCGGCCAATAAAGCGAGATGAGCGTCACAACCCCAGAGTCTGCCACGACTGGACCTAATGGTCAGGGGTCCCTTTACCTTTATGGCGCAAAAGGTTACTTACGTGCCTACATTTTCTGCATTCACTTTTTTACACTCACTTTTTCATAGAAAAAAGGTAATGCCAGTCACATTATGATTTTGCAGAATGTGTGCCCTATTTTGCACCCCTTCCCGCTATTTCTTGTAGACTAAGGTAAAACAGAAAATTTCATGCCAGCCCACGATTCTGCTGTCTGCTTTCTCACATAACCATGATCTTTACAGCTCTTCTCAGCAAAAGCCTCAATCATTTCCTCATTTTGTAGACAAAGTAATGCACTAAGTCACTTCTGGAAGAATCAAAACACTGAAAATTGCATACTGTAGTCCAATCCACTCAGTCAAAATGTATTTAACCTATATCTATGAACATTTAATTCCCCTCATCTGTGGTATGAGGCTTTACTGTAGATCCTTCCAGTGTATGTGGTTCTAAGATGTAGAATAAATCTTTCCCCTCCATATTATTTTAACGAAGGGAGCAGCTAGAGCTCTCTGTTCCGTTTTTGAGCAGTGGACAATTCTTGAGTTACCAGAGTATACCATGGCCCGACTTCGTACAGAAAAGAACATTGAATTTGCCTTTGTACTTAGACTAATTCTTAGACTAATTCCCCACACAACAAGCCACTTTCAAGGAAGTTCCTCTTGATAGCTGTCCATCACGATGGTTGTGCAATGTGCATCTAATTCGTAAGAGCGGGTTCTGAACTTGGTCATTCCGCATTTGGAACACGCTGGTGACATTCTTAGTCAGCAGAGAGAACTGAGAATTCATAGGTAGCCCTGTTGCCTGAAAAGCAAATTTGGGAACTTGGAGCCACAGCTGGTTTCCTGCCCTTTCTGAAAGTCAGTGGGAAGGTTAATTTGCCTCGTAACTAAAGGCCTATGGAGGGATTATTCTTGGGGGATTGCAAATGCATGGACGGGGGCAGAAGAGACGCATGAGGCAGAGACCTAAGATATGGTGAGCATCAATGGATAGAAAATGCTCACCACTTCATACAACTATCTTTTGAAAGGCCATGGCGAGGGGAGGGGGAGAGGAGGCAGAGTTAGAGCATACACACAAATGTTTAAGGTCTCCTAACACCTCCACAGATCTTGAGCTGCTGGCAGGGACTCCAAGAAGAAGTGAAGGACTGTAGACACCTCCATATTCCAGGGTTCAACTCCCCCACCTCACATTCTAAACCCAAGCTCACAAAAGGCAGCATTTTAATTATATTATTTATTTAATTCCATTAATTAATAGTTTATCAAGAATGGCATAGAGCCTGGAGCTATGTATGAACAGAGAATGGCAACTTAAATGTCATCTTAGCCATGAACTCGCCATCTACTGCTGTCTTGTTCTCCTCATCTGAAAGAAGGGGTGGCAATAAAAATTCGCCTTACAACAAGGTTGTAAGGACCAATAAGAGGATGTACATTAAAGTGTGCTGAACACAAAAAGCTGCAAATATTATACGTTGCATAATACTTTTGGAGGGATTTAATAACAAAACGGCAATTGTTGTTCTCTCTCACACAAATGCTGTGCTTGTGTTGTTACATGCAGTAAAATGTGCATTTAAAAATTATTTATAATATTTATTTTACTTAAACATTTATTACATTGTTTTAAAATATTTAAGTTAATCTATTACTTTAATTTGCACATGGAATCATCTATGGAGTTTACCAGCCCGCAAGGTCAATAATAATAAGAATAAGAATAATTTTATTTATACCCCGCCCTCCCCAGCCAGGGCCGGGCTCAGGATGGCTAACACCAAATATAAATTACAATAAAAAGTAATGGGGGGAAAAACAGTTAATTAAAATATGGCTTAAAATGCAGCCTCATTTTAGTAGTAGCCCAGTAGCTAGAGGAACACTAGCTTGACCATAAGGAAAATCCTGCCTCAGGGGCAAAATGAACTGCTCCCTGAATCACAAAATGGGATAACCTGCGTAGTCAACTACAAATTTTACTTTACATCTGACGAGGGATGCTAGAGCAAAATTCTAAAAGGTTTGCAGCAGTGCTGCACAAACAGCTGGTTAATTAATCTCATATTTTATAGGTGAGGAACATGTATGAGTGAGAAGCAATTAGCACAAGGCTAGATTTTTCCTTAGGGGACGCAGGTGGCGCTGTGGGTTAAACCACAGAGCCTAGGACTTGCCGATCAGAAGGTCGGCGGTTTGAATCCCCTCAATAGGGTGAGATCCTGTTGCTTGGTCCCAGCTCCTGCCAACCTAGCAGTCCGAAAGCACGTCAAAGTGCAAGTAGATAAAAAGATACCGCTCCGGCGGGAAGGTAAACGGAGTTTCCATGCACTGCTCTGGTTCACCAGAAGCGGCTTAGTCATGCTGGCCACATGACCCAGAAGCTGTACGCTGGCTCCCTCGGCCAATAAAGCGAGATGAGCGCCGCAACCCCAGAGTCGGTCACGACTGGACCTAATGGTCAGGGGTCCCTTTACCTTTACATTTTTCCTTGTTTTTCCAACTGCCCTAGAAGGTTCTGGGGAGCCTCAGTATCTTGAGGTCCTACTTCATGTCAAGCATAAGATCTAGCTCCTTCCTTATCTACCTGCTGCCATCCCTTTCATAGGAAGCTAAAAGTATAACTTCAGATACCAATGTTGAAAATATATTTGATTTTTGCCTTGGAATTTGTAAATTTCAGGCCAACGTACATCCTCACACATTTATTCTTACTCCTTTATATCGTATCCTTTTTATTGGCATTGTATACTATGTTATTTCACCTTACTTGTTTTAAAACAAGCAGTTAAAAAGCTAAGTATAATTATTCACCCTGGATAGGGGAATGCAAAATGTAGAGAACGGGGCTGTCCCACCCTGCTTTCCCAGGAAGCAATCTTAGGCTGGTACAAAGCACATCTGTTGCCCCTGGGAGGCTGAAAGGGTCAAAATAAGATCTCTTGTTTATATGCTCCATTCTCTTGCTGTGGAATAGAAGCCTGGCAATTCTTCCCCCTTGATTGCTTCTACTGCGGCTGGACTCAGTTTCATCCCCTGACCAGTCAAGCACGGCTATCCCCTTAAGATGACTTCAGAAAACAGAACACACAAAGTCTCATGATGGGAAAAGCAGTAAAACTAGGCCGTTGACTATTTTAGTAACTCTGCTAGTGCAAAAAACCCAAAGCAAAAAGATATGCAGGGAAGAAGAATCAGATTGAGCTGTCTTGTACACAACTACTGAAAAAATATGACCAGCTGGCTCATACATAGGGCAGCTTGTGCAGCGGGTCTGGCAAACTAGTTGCCTACAGAAATAGTTAGCTGCCCTGGGCAAAGAGCTAATTGCAAGGTTGCTAGAGAATGGTTATTAAAACCACCAACTGCTGCCAAAGCCAGCAGCCGAGGAGACACACATGATAAATGATACAGGAAATTCAGTAATCCGGCTTGACACATGAGAGAATATCTTCTGTTTATAATATACAAACAAAATTCTCGAGTGTGATATAAGGTGGCTAGAACAAATTAAGAAACCGTATTAAAATAGCTTCTGAAATAAGCGGGGGACGTGTACAGATTTGTAATCCACCCAAACATACTGGCTTTTTCATTCATTGTTATTTGAGATCCAGTCCATCTCGAAGTGGTAGCTGGGGAAAGCCTGTGTGAAACCCACAGGAAGTGGCGAGAATAAAAAGCCCATCTGAAAAAGAGCTGAAGGTTATTCAGCTGCATCCAATGACAGCTGTTGCTGCAATAAATTACAGTGGTACCTCTGGTTAAGTACTTAATTCGTTCCGGAGGTCCGTTCTTAACCTGAAACTGTTCTTAACCTGAAGCACCACTTTAGCTAATGGGGCCTCCTGCTGCTGCCGTGCCGCTGGAGCACGATTTCTGTTCTCATCCTGAAGCAAAGTTCTTAACCTGAGGTAATATTTCTGGATTAGCGGAGTCTGTAACCTGAAGAGTATGTAACCAGAAGTGTATGTAACCCGAGGTACCACTGTAGTCCGTTTTGAAAGGTGCCACAGGACTCCTTAGCTATGTGTAGACTTCAGGAAGATTACTCCCAAATATGCCTAAGATCATAATTCTACTCTTTGCTGCAAGAGACCAAACATGGCTGTTCTCTTAGATCAGGAGTCAGCAACTTAAGGCCCATGGGCTAGTCGCGGCCCACGAGGTTTGTCTAACTGGCCCATGGTGACCCCTGCTGCCCCCTGCTCTTACCGGTGCGGGGAGCGACTTCCGGGTAGATGGTGCCTGTGCGCATTCGCACAGGCGCTCCTCCGACCCAGATGTGCGCTGGAAATAGTGTGTGCACACACATGCAGGACGCAGAAGCGCTCGTGCGAATGCACACACGCTATTTCTGGCATACCTCTGGGTCGGAGCGCAGGAAATAGTGTGTGTGCACACGTGCTCCTCCGACTCAGATGAGCGTGCGTGCGCCCACACTCCGGCCCATCCTTGGACGGACGAGCATCGGCCGGCCCATCCTCTGATAAGGTTGCTGGCCTCTGTCTTAGAAGCTTTCAAAGTTACTTCGATGAAGAAGCCAGAAGCAGAGGAGAACTTAACTGAGAGAACTTTTACACAGTCTGCTCGCATGTAGAACACACAGCAATATTGGAATTTCATTTGTATTAAGGAAATAATTCTAGTGGAAACAAAACAAAACCAAGAAAATTGTATTAACAATCCAACTCAATTAAAATTTTCACACAAATATTTTGTTATGACCTCAGGTGTATCGGCATAGTTAAGAACTTGTTTTGCGAAATAATTTGTAGACTCCGAAAAGTCACCGTAAAAGCTTTTAACAGAACCTCTACCTGCATTCAAATTTTTGTAAAGTATGAAATGACCCTGAAAATTCTATTTGCATTTCTCGTTTAAGATGTACTGCACATTATATACTAGATTGGTTTCCTCTGTTTTTCTGTGCCTGTGCATATAACAAATATATTTATATATTAGTTTTAACCAATATAAGGTATTTTGAGATGTAGGTCACTTTCTTTAGCGTAAGAGAAATAGTCACTTTCTGTACTCTCTCTCTCTCTCTCTCTCTCTCTCACATACACACACACACACACACACACACACATATATATACATTGCACGATACATTGCAAAATTGAAATACAGTACTTCGCAAAATTTCAGATTCTGAAATGGGTGCCACTTACCGAAGATTCGCTGTCTCTGACAAGGAAGTCCCCTTCCGCTCCCCGTTCGTTTAGAGCACATTCTGCCTGATGCCGAGTAACATTCCCATAATACCATTCTCTTCCTGCAAACCGTCCCGTAGTAGAGGGCCCTGTGTAGCTTATCGGAGGCGGGTGGGAACTGTTACTTGTAGGGCCATCACTTAAGATTACTACATAGTTTTTCGGAACGAGGCCAATTTGCCCTCGGGAATTTTTACATTTCCACCATTCCGGGTCATTCTCAGGTTTCTCTATCACTTCCATGGTTTCGCCTTTCTCGAAGTTGAGCTCTTCTTCTGTAACAGAACTGAACGGGTACAATGTCTGAACAACGTGAAGTACTTTCATGGCTTGGCCATTGCTCATGGAGGCCCCCTTCCTCAAGCTGAGAAAACTTGGCGAATCGGCAGTCGCTTCCTCGACTTCTTCTACCACGTAGTTTGAAGGAAACCATCCAATTTGTCCGTTGTAACTCCCTCTCCACCAGCCATCGCTGCACTTTTCCATAACAATGACTCGGGATCCTTTCACAAGAGAGAGTTCATCTTCCCTTTCTGCCACATAGGCAAATTTAACGTACGCTGGGATGTTCAGATCATAAATCCGATCGGCGTTGCTACCGTTAGATGGGTACTCTGCATCAGTACTAGGGGTCGGTGAGGCGTCTCTGGCACTTGTCTTCCGCTTTGTTTTCCCCAAACCTGTTAAAAAAATAAAATAAAAGTTTCTAAAAAGCATTAAACAAAACATGGTTAAACACATTGCAAACTTTGCATGAGAAATCAGGTTGGCAAAAACAGAACTCCACAGTGCCCTCTGGTGTCACCGTGTTAGAATGCATAAATAACGCACATAAAATGTTTTTTCTTTGCCAATGTAGTCGAGTCCTAGATGTGTCAACAAAATAATGAAGACATAGAGGAATTGTTCTATGATGCCAGAAAACTGCCAGAGGGGGAAAAAGTAACTTTTTAAGAAGCTTCTTTTCTTCTCAGAAGGGTAGCTACTAAATGAAGCTTTGATGTGCCCTTTCAGTGCATTTTTTTCCGAAGTCACTAGAGAATGAATACACACAGAACTGTTGGCAGCATAGAAAAGGAAATTACTCTTTTTATAACCAGTTAGTATTGCATTGTGGGATTAACAATTCTTTAAAAATGCAACCAACCGATTTTCAATCTATTTTAGTTGCAGAGAAAGAAGTTGAAACAAGGTACCAAAAGTTGGTTGTCTAAAAGGTTCTGCGTGGCTCCCATTAACATTCAAACCGATTCCACTGCAATTTCATAGAATAAAAACCATTTAAACCAAGAAATGGTGTGATCGTGCGCAATACATATACGAAATTATTTGTGCACGTTTTATTGGTAAACATACTAAAATATGTACATGACCTACATTGTGACATGCAGTAAATTCGTGCAACTTGCTAATGTGCAGCCAAACTGAGATCTCAGTTGCAGAGTACAGCAGTAGGACAATTCACTAGGTATGGTTCTGGATAGGAGTCAACACAGGATATTCAATGTCACAGCGTTTCAGATTTTAAAGGTACTGTGCACCTAATAATCTCCTATTCTGCTTTTAGTTGTGTCTGATCTGCAGCAGCCAAAGGAGCTCACAATTACTTAAAATAAAATAAAACCCACAGGAGTCCATTGTTTTGAAGCACAACACTTTCAGAGTACCAAGGTATTTATTAAACAGCTAGCAGCATAAGGAGTAATACAATTTTCACCAGCTCAAACAATAATATTAAATTCAAATGTTACTGTGATAAAGATCTAACACAGGAACTATTCTTTAATGCTCCCTGTACACACACACACACACACACGTTATTTTGCTTGTAAACCTCTGAAGGTAGTGAATTTCATTATGGAATTTCAATTAGGTTGCAGGCTCAGTTTATCTGGGACAAGCAGAATTCAAGCGCTGTTTGGGATTTCAACTGTGGAAAAACAAGGACAACACATAGAAAAAAACCATCCAGCCATAATCTTACACATATATTTGGACTACAACTAGAGTGGGAAAGAATCCGACCCCTCCCCAGGCTTTCAGTTTGATACAGGATCTAGTTAAAGTGCTTTGGCTAACATAAAGGAAATAATTCTGATACGAACAGACAAAAACACAAGGTATTTTAAAAATAAATCCTATTCTAAACAGTTGTCTCTCGCACATGCCATTTTGGGTTGACTACATCACTGCTTAATTACACACCGAAAATAGTTCAAGTTAAACGCCTGTCTAGGGGTAGCTGAACATACCTGATGCATTCTGGCAGATTATTCACCTAAATGGCATAAACAAAAATCTGCTGTACCAAACCCAAGTTGAAACTGCAGCAGGAGGAATGGGGTGGGTGGGAACGACACACAAGGATGCTTGTCAAATTAATCTACGGAGCTTCAAGTGTCACATTAACTAAATGAGGAAAATGTCAGTGATTCCTCCCGATACGTTCCACAGCTTTCGCATCTTTCTGTGTGCTTATCTAAAGAACTGTAACTAAAGACTTCCCTCTAGCCTAAAAGTCAGTGGCCATGCAAGCTGGCAAAGTGACAGCAAAGAAACCAAGCTATTGTGGTGTGTGATACAATTGCAGGAAAACAGTACTTCAGTCTGCAGTAGAAGCTGGCCACGGTCTGATCTATGATGAAAACTTCCCGACTGCCACTGAACAATGTCTTGTGTATCAACATACACAGAACTATTAAAAGGAACCAGAGATGGTAACTGGAGAGATATTACTATCAAGAGAATGGGTAGTAATTGGACAAAGTACATATCTCAGGTTAATGACCTCATTATTTCCGCATTCAATGGCAGTGACTAAGCCATTTTCCACTTCAATGTACACTTCTAGCAATTAAGATTTCCAAATATTTATAACAAGTCCCTTCTAACAACAGTGAGAGAGTGCAATTAACATCAGGAACCAGCCCTAAACCAACAACAAAAACCCATGAACCAATTTCCACAAAACAAGGCACTTGATATGTTCCAGTAACTAACAATTCAATAGTGAAATAATGCTTGAATTGAAGATTGCAACCTACCTTCTATTAAATGCCTCAACATCTGCAAACATTTGACCACTGTGAGGACTACTTTTTAAACTTTTCAACATGGAAGAGAAGGAAGGAAACTCACTGCTTGTAAAGATTTATGCAATACTAGCAAAATGCTCAACGTTATGACAAGCAGAGCAAGAGTTAAGAACCAGAGGCCTAGCATACTGCAAGGACCATGGTGGGATTCTGGTCAGCTCTGATGGGACCACACACTGTCATGGAAGGGAATGCAGCCCATGGCCATGTTTGCTTCTGTATTACAAATAAAAGGCCAACATTTAACTGAACTGGGAGCAGATGCAGTCAATAAGAATTCATGAAGGCTTATAACAAATTACGTTTGTTAGTTCTGAATCTTCTTACGAGTAAAGTTTCAAATACATTACAATATTGGTTCAGAATTTGGCATTCAGGAGTCATAATATCTGAAATGGGTTGCTGTCTGGAGCAGCATTCAAAATTTGCCAGGTGCATTTTGCACCTGGCTATCAGCCACTTGTAACCAAGTGAAGGTGCCCGGGCGCCATGATGTGCCTGACATCTCCACCATCTGGAGAGACATGCCTGGGGATCCTTGGATCTTGACTGTTTTCACACACTAGCAACACATCCAGTAGAATTCTATCCATGGTATTTTATCTGCCCAATCAGAACGAATTTCAGGAACCAAAAAGTTGTACTGAAAAATAGGACTTTTGAGCCGTCTGGTCCCCAAATGGCAGCTAGACATTCAGTTTTGGCGACCGTAACCCTGGTTTAAGGAGCCATTTGGCACCCAGCTTATATATCGGAGTTTCTAACACTGGTCGAGAGTCAGTGCCTCCTGATCAATTACCCCCCAAAACAAACAAACAAACAAATCTCAGCAGCACTGACATAGCTGGCAACATTCAGCGCTATGAAGAAATCTGTACTGTTCATTCCATATATTTTGGCAGAAGATAAAGATACCTGTTTCTGCAGACTTCTGCCATTTTCTAATTATAGTTTGCAACACTCGATTTGCAACGAAAGCAGGTTTATACCAAGCCTTCACATGTTTTTGCGCATTCACAGGCTCTGCTGATTAGTTACTTCATTTCAGCAATTTAAACTCTTGGTATTCTCTGGATGAAGGAACAGAAATGCTGAAAGCAGTGGCTCTTCTGTTAGCCTATCTGTTATATAGGAGAAAGGCTGGCCAGGTGTTTTATTATTGAGTCATAGTTTTGGGTCATACAAGTCGGTACTGTCAGTTAATTGCAAAAGTTATTTGCCGAATATGGTGATTAGGAATAGACTTTCCCCAAATGCAATTCAATACGTAAAATTCCAAAAAGAAACAGCTGAAAGGAAATCAGTAAAAGGTACTTTATACTTGGGCACCCAGCAACAAAACCGGCTCAAGGAACACCCCAATTTGCAAACTTGGTCCATGAGAAGTGCACAGCCATCACAAACAGATGGAATACAGTGGCGCCTCGCAAGACGAAATTAATTCGTTCCGCGAGTTTTGTCGTCTTGCGATTTTTTTCATCTTGCGAAGCACGGTGTCGGGAAAGTTTTGGGAAAGCTTCAAAAATCACCAAAGTCTTTAAAAACCTCAAAAAAGGCTACCACACCGCGTTCTATGAGTTGCTCCTCGAAGTCAAGTCGCAACTGTATTAAAGGTGTTAAGAAAAAAGGAAACAAACTTGCAAGACGTTTCCGTCTTGCGAAGCAAGCCCATAGGGAAAATCGTCTTGTGAAGCAGCTCAAAAAACAAAAAACCCTTTCGTCTAGCGAGTTTTTTGTCTTGCGAGGCATTCATCTTGCGAGGTACCACTGTACCATCTCTCTGAATCTGTGAACTGTTTACCCACAGAAACTCCACGTTGTTAGACCTGAGTTTCCCATTACTGACCATCATCCAGTTTTGTTTTGTTTTTTACAAAGTCCAGACTTCCAGCACTTCACCTAATTCTGATGTCAGCCAAACCCCCACATCTCTGAAAGTACAAATGACAAGTTGAGGGTACCCCACAGCAGAAGCGTCAAGCAGGGAATGAAGCAAAAAATCCCTACTGGAAACAGCCCTGCAAGTTAAGAACGGAACAACTATATCACCATGCCCCAAACTTCCAAATCACAGAGCCAATTCAGAAACTTATAATCACTAGATGGTATGGTATCAAAAGCCACAGCTGGACCACACTCCCTCATCCCTTTCCCAGCATTGTCCAGCCATTAGGGGAAGGGGTGGGGAACTGTTTTAAGGCAGAAAGCTGTTCGGGGAGGGGGACACATTTCAGTAATTGGCAAGGCTGGCTCCAAACACGAAATGCTATTTTCCGCAGAAACAAAGCCCTATATTTAATTCTTAGTAACTCCACTCAAGTTTCACCTTCCCTTTTCTCCACAGATTTCTTTTAAAACTAAGTTTGGGTGATGGGGTCCCCCCCGCAGTTGGCGGCACTTTCGCAATCCTGACAGGACTAAAGACAAATATAAACTCCATATTCCACGAAGCAACGTGTAACGTGCAGCTGAACTGCAAGCCCTGCTTTAGAAATGTTCAAAGCCTCCAATTCTGCAAATGCAATTGTATCCAGAAAAAAGTGCATGCCTGCAGCTGAAAAGTGCATGGATGGTTTTTGCATATCTCTTGCTAAGGTATTTCCCATCTTTGGGGTAGCAAATAAAGTGTTATATGCTGACAATATTTTAACCAGAGTGATTCTACTTCTCAGGAGTATAATTCCTCCGATGTATGGAAGTGAGAGCTGGACCATAAAGAAGGCTGATCGCCAAAGAATTGATGCTTTTGAATTATGGTGCTGGAGGAGACTCTTGAGAGTCCCATGGACTGCAAGAAGATCAAACCTATCCATTCTTAAGGAAATCAGCCCTGAGTGCTCACTGGAAGGACAGATCGTGAAGCTGAGGCACGAATACTTTGGGCCATCTCATGAGAAGAGAAGACTCCCTGGAAAAGACCCTGATGTTGGGAAAGATTGAAGGCACAAAGAGAAGGGGACGACAGTGGACGAGATGGTTGGTCAGTGTTCTTGAAGCTACCAGCATGAGTTTGACCAAACTGCGGGAGGCAGTGGAAGACAGGAGTGCCTGGCGTGCTCTGGTCCATGGGGTCACGAAGAGCCGGACATGGCTAAACGACAACATAATTCCTCCCTCCCCTCAGAAAAAAAATGGGCCAGTTGGCTCACACAGCTTTTGTGGCAAAACATCAACTACTTAATGGAACAGTTGTGAAATTGGCAGTTTCTGTTTTGCTCCCTTGTTAGACACATGTATAAACCAGGCATTCATAAAGGTCACTTACTTGCAACACTAAGTCTACAGTCCTACCCACCCTTACCACTGGTATACTTCTGAGTAAACATGGACACAATTATGCTCTAGGTTTCCTAAAGACATAGACAGAAGTTACTGGACAGAACAGCTTTTCTATGCCATTTGGAAAAGTAAATGTCACTGCTATTTGGTTGACAATAGAAATGGTCATAATTTGAACGATAAGAAGCAGAACACATCACCTATTGTGTCCTATTTTTAACAGTTGATATCAGGAGTCGTCTTTTTGTCTCTGGTTAATGCTTTTACAGGGGAAAGTAGGGAATGACTCAAAGGGCATTTAATCCCTTTAAAGGCACAAGATGTCAATGGAATAGGTAAGTATGTCCAATTGTTATCCTTAAAAAAACCACCTTCAGTGACATCTTGAACTCTGCAGGGAGTGAAGGGCAAATAATACACAGACAGGATCCGGCTGAATTCTCCACAGCTTGTTTTGTCCCATGAAACCTAATTGAAACAGGCTGCAATTGACAGGACTCTTTTTTGAAGGGGGAGAGGAAGCAAAATCACTCCCACTAAGGAACTGGGATTACCAAGTTTAGCTCCCATTTCAAGAAGTGGTGCTCTGCATGTGGTAGCAAATCTTGTTTATCATGCCCAAAATTAGGAAGTAGCCTGGGTTCCATAGACAGAGAAGCCAAATGGCCCAATATTTCTCTGCTGCAGAAGAAATTTTCTCTCTCTTCTCCTCCTGAAATAGACATATCTTCCAGCAACCACTCCTTCATTCTATACTCTCCCCATGTCCTAGGTTTGCTTGAATTATTTGTTGTTGTTGTTGTTGTTGTTTAGTCGTTTAGTCGTGTCCGACTCTTCGTAACCCCATGGACCAGAGCACGCCGGGCACTTCTGTCTTCCACTGCCTCCCGCAGTTTGGTCAAACTCATACTGGTAGCTTCAAGAACACTGTCCAACCATCTCATCCTCTGTCGTCCCCTTCTCCTTGTGCCCTCCATCTTTCCCAACATCAGGGTCTTTTCCAGGGAGTCTTCTCTTCTCATGAGGTGGCCAAAGTATTGGAGCCTCAGCTTCACGATCTGTCCTTTGCTTGAATTATTAGGCTTACTTTATTATGCTACTTTAAACAAACAAAAATTAAAATGGAAAGAGAACTTGTGGTGCGTGAGGGAGAGCAGTCGCAATAGCCAGACCACTATTCTGAGCTTAGATGTGGAAAGAGAGAATTAGCTTATGTAACCTCAGTCAGGGGAAAGTCGCTTAGAAATTCTTCAAAAAGCTGTTTGCATATGGTATTCAGTATTTGACAGTTTATCATGCTACACTCCATAAATAGAATTGCGTGTTTTATATCAGGCAACCATAACTTCCAAAAATGTCATCATTAACTACCATACAGAGCGATCGAGAGACTGGCATGCTTAATCATCTCTTTATTATTTTCTGCAGGGCTTTTACTGCATCTGGTTGTAGGGGGCACAGGGACACACAAGAAACAAAAGCTGGAACAGGCAGAAGAGAAGTCCCAGATTTAACATGTTGCTATTTTTGTAAATCAGGCTGGTTTAATGTCATATCACAACTTCATTGATCTAAAAGCAGATTCTCGCCTCACCTTCCATCGTTCACATAGCAGCTACAACACAACATTTAATGCTGCCCCCCCCCCCCAAAGTCTAGAGCAGATGGTGTTTTGGGATAAAGTTTGCTGTTGGATGATAGACAGATGGATAGATAACAAACTTTACAATTAAAGATCCTTAAGGCTATGATTGACTGTGATGGCTGTCACTGGTTTACAATTTCAATTCAGTGGAGGAGGGTCAAGATATTAACTGATATGCATGAAATTTCAGATATAGCTATATAATCCCTAGTGTAGTAAGATAAGACCTTTGGAGCAGGCATTTAAAAAAAAAAATTATGAAGGGACAAAAGTTCCAGAGCATCCCTACTAGGAACCGAGGCTTGCTGAACTCAGCAGGAATTTATTTCTGGGTAAATATGAAGGGAATTTCAAAGTGTTATATTCCACATTTCCACCAAATATAAGTCTCCAAGGCAGCCCACAACAAATCCATTACAACAAAATAAGAACCAGTGAATAGAAGCATAAAACAACAGCAGATCTAACAGCTGAACACCAAGTAAGTGAAACAAAGAAATTAACTCCAATCAGATGCTGCCAAAGGTCAGGGCAAATAAACTTTTAGGTTGCAGCTAAAAGATAACAAATGTAGGAATCTGATGAATATATAGTATGTATATAGTTTTTGTTCGGCATATGCCACCTGCATGTTAACTGAGTCGGTATCATTATTCTCAGAAAAATTAAGCCAATTTTAGCTGCTGAAAAATGGCAGCAGAATGGAGGGTGCACATGGGCACGCAAGATTATTTTCTAAATAGCTGTTATGAACTAAAGCTTTAAATACACATAAAGCATTACGAGCGTCACTGGTACAACCAGTTGACAATCGGAAGCAAAAATATAAGACTACAAAGGGCGAAATGAAGTGAAAACAAAAACAAAACTTGACTGTGCAGAGAAAATGAGTGTGTTGTAAATCTGACTCTTCCCAGCTTCAATGAGGATTACACCACATTTCACACCTGTACACTTCCATTTTCATTAGTGATCTATAGGTGTTAATTGTCAAGCAAAAAAGCATTTGGTACTCCGGCAACACAGAGGGCCAGGGTCAGACTTAGGTTATTTTGTTGCCTCAGGTGAAGGAAAAGATGGTGTGTTTGCTTTAAGCATCCATATCTTGCTGTTCATCCCCTCATTATGCAAGAACATTTCCTAAGGTTCAGCAGCGTCACGAAGTCATCCTGACATCTGGCTTAATCATGGCATCTCTTTCGAGATCTCTACAGAAAGTAGCTCTTCAGAATTTATCTGTATGTACCACGCATCACAAGCTCTATTTTGTTCATAGAAATATGTGTGACCTGTTATCTCTTTGCAAAATGCAAAGCCAAAGCATGATTGAACAGTTGAAGAACTCTTAATTTTTATTATGTTCACTTTGGTTTTGAATGAAGCGCAAATTATAACTGGTACAATTAACTAACCTTGGTCAATTAAGACTTCTTTCTCCAGACTCAGGATAGGAAAATTAGTGCCAATACAAAGGCCTGAATAACTTTTGTGCGCTTTTAGAGCAAGATTATTCACTTTTCTGCCTTTACTTATGACTTTACTGATTTTTTTAATTGTTGGCTATCCAACAAAACCCCACACATATTCCCAGTTTTAGAGTGACAGAATCACGCTGTTTCCAAATAACTAATTTCTTAATATTTCAATAATTTAAATTTTGAAGTTATTGCAAATCCAGTTTTACAATTTTTTTAAAAAGAAAAATTCATTTTTGGTGCAGAAAGCGAAAGAACTTCATTTTAATTAGTAAACATTTTAAATAATGTCTATGTTTTAAACTTCATACAGCAGTAGCAGTTCCCACACTAGGACAACCTGCCACACTTCACTCCTATCTTAGAAGCTGCTTGATGTACGTAAACACAAAACTTTTTTAGCGAATTGACTGTCAAATAAAAATTACTCATTTCAAACCTTACTGGGAATTTCCCCCTTTCACCCATTTGCTCCTTGGTTCCCAGGGAGAAATATGGCAACGTAAAGATCACTAGGAAATGAGGGAGTCTGAGGGAGTGGAAGGGGATTGTGTAGGTGCTGAAATGGGTCTTGTGCATAGTCAAGTGTCATATATTCCCATTGGCTGATAGATCTGTTATGGTGATGGAGTGCAACTAGTAGAGCAATCATGGCTTCAGCAAGGCACTCCAAAATGCGACTCTGCCTCTGTAGCAAGGCAGCTCTCTTGGCGATGCACCGCCCAAAAGCTGCATGTGACTGCCTCGTAGCTGTGTCCATCTGTTCACCGAACACTTGTACTGACATGCCACATGCACCAGGTTGTAACTTGTCTGTCCTGAAATCTGTGCTCAGCTTCACATTTGTCCAGCTCATAAAAAGAGCTCTGACCGCCCTATTTCCTGCGTCTGCGGCAACATTTGCTAAGTTCTTTGTGATCTGTACACAATCACAGTCTTCTTCCTGTTCCTCAGCCTTGCTGTCCTCTGTGCATTGGTTAATGACACCTCTTCTAGCACTAACTCATGTTGCTGTGTGTGATTCTTGCCTTATAAGTGTGGGGGAAGGGTGAGAAGGGAATTGTTAGAACTCTCTTTTCTCATGAGTTGGGTGCGAAGTTATGCTGGGAGAGTAAAGTTCAGTTGGGCTTAGGGGGGATAGGAACACACTGGCAGTGGGTGTGTTGCCTCTTTGCTTGAAGTAGAGCCGGTAGGACCAGACATTTCCTGAACAGCAGCATCAGCTATAGTGACCATTTCTTTCCTCTACTCACAGCCTGAGAGCCAATTTGTAGGGAAGGCCTTAGTGAGTCACATGTTCCTGGGGCAGCTGGAGTCTGGTCTGGATGTAGTCACGGTACTGATCTGGGTCTATTCCACCGATATTGGTCAGAGACACCGATGCCAAAAACCACAATATGGAGGACCACCCTAGGTTCCACTCCCAAGTGCTTGAGAGTGGTGACCTTCTTCCAAACATTCATTTTCTTCTAACAGTAGGTGGCACTGCAGTGGCAACTCCACGGGCACATCTCCTTATTGAGCCAGGCAGAAATGATATATCTTGGTGAGACCAATGTGCTAGTCCCTCTGCATGTGTGGCAAGATTCAGAGATCAATGAACACTGAGTGCTCTTCAGATGGCCAGAATTCTGCTCTTACTCTCTAGGATGCCATCTGTTGACAGCCATGGACTCTCATGATGGCACATCTGCTGGTTCCTTTTTTGCCAGGGAGATGATATAATATCTCCCTGGGAAACACAGGCCTGCGAGCACTCCAACTGGAGAACAACCTTTACCAAAGGTGTCATTGGTTTTGAAGACGCTCAAACTCAGGACGAAAGGGAGAAACGTGCTAAGAAGAAGAAGAGTTTGGATTTGATATCCCGCTTTATCACTACCCGAAGGAGTCTCAAAGCAGCTAACATTCTGCTTTCCCTTCCTCCCCCACAACAAACACTCTGTGAGGTGAGTGGGGCTGAGACACTTCAGAGAAGTGTGACTGGCCCAAGGTCACCCAGCAGCTGCACGTGGAGGAGCGGGGAAGCGAACCCGGTTCCCCAGATTACGAGTCTACCGCTCTTAACCACTACACCACACTGGCTAAGATGAAGGCACATCTGGCAAATCCTCACCATGATCAACTCCCACCCGGAAACCTACGTCCCCACTGTGGAAGGACATGTGGATCCAGAATTGGCCTCCACAGTCACTTACAGACTCACTGTTAAAACCGTGTTTATGGAAGACAATCTTACTCGTCTAAAAGTGATCGCCAAAGATGATATCATCATCATCATCGCCATCATTTATATCCCATCTATTTTTTTGCCAAAAACATGGTATACATGGTTCTCCTCTTCCTCATTTAATCTCCACAACAGCCCTGTGAGATAGGATTGAGAGGCAGCTGTGCTGAAAGGTTTTCACTCTAATTCTACTATGGGTCTGGCAACCCCATATCTAAAAGTATATACAGGACTGCACATGTTCCGCATTTTTAAAACTTTCTCAGTTTTATCCATGTGAATGCCTGATTTTATTTCTTCCAGATGACTGCACGTATAAACTGTTGCTACCATTTAATAAGGTTAAGTTGGAATATCATTATATCCTGTTCATTAAACTTCATTGCTTTGCTATTTATTCCTCTACGGGTGTTAGTAAGAAGTAGTGAGCTATGCCTGCTTTAGGTTTTCCTCTCCTTGGAAGCATGGCACCTGCAATGCAAAGCTGTTTCTTGTGAGGATGGGGAGGTAGAAGAGAGGGGGGGGAAGGAGTTCCTTGCCAAGCAGAGTTAGGAGGAAGTTCTTCAGGCAAAGCACCATTGAAAGTCACTTAGACTTGAGCGTGATTTTTGTTTCCATACTGCTCTTGAAGCCGGGCTCTGTAGTTTGGCACAAGCCTGGGGAGGGGCAGGCAAACAAACCATGCTGACGACATGCCATATTAGGACACGCCACAGTTCACAGACCAACAACAAACCATAGTCAATGGTTTGCATGATGAGACAAACCACAGTTGGGTAAAAACCAGCTGTGTGAACCAGCTCAACATCTTCATTCCAATATCACTCCATTTGACAATTGCTTACTAGAGATTTGTGTAATCTTTGCTTATCCTTTCCCGAGATAGAACTCGATAAATACATGTGTGTGAATCAGCAACTGATAGCTTATGATGCAGCAGCGCCATAAAAGACTATTGAAGAGAGGGCCTTCTCTGTGGCAGCCCCGAAATTGTGCACTTTCCTCCTCCTCACAGAGGTGTGCTTGGCACCAATATTACGCCATTTCCACCACAAGCTCTCTACCTGGGCTTTGACACCATATCAATACATAGGACCCACCCTACTCTTGAGAGTAATTCACTTTCAACTGTTTTAGCTCCATAAAGCTTGGTTGACTCTTACTCTCAGGGTTGTGGGTTTGAGCCCCACATTGGCCAAAAAGATTCCTAGACTGCATGGGATTAGACTAGATGACCCATGTGGTCCTTTCCAACTCTACAATTCTATGATATTGTAATTTAAGCAACTGTAACACTCCATCTTTGGACCCCAAAGTAAATGGTAGGGTTGTTGTTGCTGTTATGCCTGAGCTAATGTCAGGGGATGTTCAATCTCAGGCTTCTTGACTATTGAAGGATAGGAACAAATTTTAGAAACAAGCAAATGAATTACTGCATGCTGCACCTATTTACTGATATCTATCCATGCATGCATGCAATTTAATAATGCCAGTATCTAGTGATGACATCCAGTGTGAAGCAGCTCTCAAAATCAATTGGAAAACAAGAATCCTGATTTATTTCTGTACCTGAAACCAGACATCAGAACCGTTTCTTCTGGACACCTTGGAAAGAGGCCCACAAAACCAATCGACCAATAAAAATAAATGGGTGATTTTGAACTGAAAAGGCTAATAATAAACTGTGTACAAAATGGAGGACCCTCCAATTTAAGGCTGTAGGCTCAAGAGTTGTTTGTAAACATTTGGTCACAATCCTATTAACTCCAGACAGAATGGCCATGCAAACCAAGACATAAAGGGGGGGGGGGGGAGTGCACATAACAGGATAAAAAAAAGCCCTTTGGGGAAGGGTATAGCTTAGTGAAAGTCCTCAGACAACAAAGCCAACATCTAAACAAATGCTACACTTCCTTTGGTGGTGAAATGGGGAGGGGTGGCACCTGAGGCATCCTGGCTGCTAACAAAAGCACGTTGCTTCAAAAAAGGAAATAACTGACAGTTTCCAGCAAACTTTCAAACAAACAGGAAGCTAAGTGAAAAAAGAAAAAAAGAAAAACCAAGCGACAGGCATACGGCGTATTTAGCTTCAAACAATCATAAAACTGTAAAGACAAGAACTGTGAATATCTGTGCTACCAAATCCAAATATTGCTGAAATAATCGCCATTCTCAGTGTATTGGTGCATTTCAGTGCTTTTAAAAGGCAGCGACGTCCGATTATCAACAAAGACACCACAGCAAAAATCAGAAACAAATTCTGGACAAAATTTTTAAATATATATATATCTCCAAAGTGTTTCAGGTACGGTTAATTGTTGTGTTTTACTGTCACAATATCTGACAAAACCTACGGTCAAGATTTCAGAGTGCTGAAAGTCAGGAACAATTTTCACCGACACTATCTAGCTTTCAAAATTCATATCAAGCAATTGTCATTCATGCCCTCATGAACTCAAGGCTATAAATATATTTTGAGCAAGGCTGAAGCTAGTGATAAATGTGGTGAGCCTTCTAACCAGAGAGGTCATTGCGAGCACACAGTATTGGCACGCTGAAACTCTGGCTTCCAGGCACAATTCATGAAACTTAGATTTGACCTATAAAGCATTTAGACCTAAATGGCAAGTGCACATAAAGAGGAACTTTCCATGGCTGACCTACCAATTACAGAATTCACTCCCCTAGAAGCTAAACCTATCTTGAATGTGGCTGAGCTGGATGGAGACAGTGAAGTGGGCAGGAACACAGGTCAACGGATGGAGCCTTGCCACTTTTATCATTCCTTCTGTCTTGCTGCCCTTCTTCACATTTCTTAAAGACGCAAATACATGTGATCCATTAGGATCTCCATTTTTTAAAAAAACACAACCCAAGGAATTTATTAAGAACCAAGTAAGACTTTAACATGATAGGGACTGCAGGAAGCAATTAAACCTTCCCTCACTTCATGGTCTTCCTTCTGCTAGCTATTAACTGGCATGGAGGCCAGGTGAGGAAGAAGATTGGCATCATTTGCCAGTGCCAATCCAATTCAGGGACCAAGTAGCCATTATTCTTTAAAAAAAAGAAAAAGAAAGAGTAGATCCTAATCATACATCTCCCATCACATCTATTAGGTAAAGGTAAAGGGACCCCTGACCATTAGGTCCAGTCATGGCAGACTCTGGGGTTGCGGTGCTCATCTTGCGTTATTGGCCGAGGGAGCCGGCGTACAGCTTCCGGGTCTTGTGGCCAGCATGACTAAGCTGCTTCTGGCGAACCAGAGCAGCGCACAGAAACGCCGTTTACCTTCCTGCCGGAGCGGTACCTATTTATCTACTTGCACTTTGATGTGCTTTCGAACTGCTAGGTTGGCAGGAGCAGGGACCGAGCAATGGGAGCTCACCCCGTTGTGGGGATTCGAACTGCCGACCTTCTGATCAGCAAGTCCTGGGCTCTGTGGTTTAACCCACAGCGCCACCTGTGAGGACACAGGTGGATAGATCAAATCTATTAAGATGAGGTAAAAGTTCACTTTTTATTTTTTTGAAATTATCATTCCCAATTCATTGAAAAAGATATCTAAAATTGATGAAGCCATGGTTTATAAATAATTTGTACGCTGCTTGGATGAATACACAGTACTCTTTTTGGTGCTATATATTATCAGTTTACATACACATGCTTTGGTGAGCATTGGGATAAATGTGCCTTTTAAATTTTTTTGGTCAAATTTTCAGGAAATGAACTGAGAGTGAAAAAGGAAAAGAAGCTATGTTGCTATAAAGAGGTAAACAAATCTGGTTTTTTTTTTAAAAAAATATTTATTATTTTTCCAAAAACTTAAACACTAGAAAGACAATACAATGCAACACATCAAATTAACAAAACAAAACAAAAACAATAAAATAAATCAAACAATTTCATTATCCCATCTTTCACTCACTTATTTCCGCGACCTCCTCACACCTCCCATTTTGTATTCCACTTCTGTTAATTATTTCAGCAATTCCTTTCCATCTTCCTCTGTTTTCTATCCTATAATTATCTTAACTCATTCTAACCTTATTTTTTCCTTTAATGCTCTATTAACCTATCTGTACTTAATTCCTTATAACATTTCTACTAAAGCCATATAACTTCATTCCAACATTTTTCTAACATTCATTAATTTTACAGTATTTCTGTAAATAATCTTTAAATTTTTTCCAATCTTCTTCCACCGACTCTTCTCCCTGGTCTCGGTTTCTGCCAGTCATTTCCGCCAGTTCCATATAGTCCATCAACTTCATCTGCCATGAGGTAAACAAATCTTTGCTATTGGGCAAATGCTGTTAATTCCGACATTTGCTCGGTTTTTCTGTTTAAACAACTATCAGCAACTACAATCAAAGCACCAAACAGCACAATGTGTTCTGTGACATCAGCATCTAATTATACATCAGAACCATGTGTCTGAAGCCTTACTGCCCTCAAAGATATACAGCCTCATTTTCATTAAATGGAACATGAAGTCAAGACCTTTGATTGACAAGGCACCGATCACACTTCACGCAAGACACTCTAACCTAAAAAAACACGTCTCTGTTCTGATACAAATTCACACTTGGTTGCACATCTACAGTGGAGTTCTCACCTAGGCCCTGTTGGATTGTGTGTGTGAGCATTTTGAGGTGGGCAGGATCTGTTTCCCCATTCCAGATTAATAGTCACCTACCACTAGGGCTAGAGATGGATCATGATATGGTTTTTGTCTCACTATCAACAGGCAAAATTAAGCTGGTTCACTGAAATACCAGGCAGGGGCATAGTGGGTGGGAATGATATCTTAACTGGTAAAAACTCTTGCTTTGTGTCATCAAAAGGACACTTTTTAAACATATATTTTTATTGGTAGACGCTGGGGCATGGTGAATTACAAGGAAGATAGGGGCACCATCTCTACAGGATTGTATGCACATGAAGGTTGAAGGCTGGCTAGTGAAGGACCCTGTGTGAGAGGCAGGGAAGGGAAGATTTCCTAAGGTGAGGGGGCTGGGAGAAGAAAGAAAAGCTCCCAGGTGAGAAGGTTCTCCCAGGTGAGAGCCGGTGTGGTGTAGTGGTTAAGAGCGGTGGTCTCGTAATCTGGGGAACTGGGTTCGCGTCTCCGCTCCTCCACATGCAGCTGCTGGGTGACCTTGGGCCAGTCACACTTCTTTGAAGTCTCTCAGCCCCACTCACCTCACAGAGTGTTTGTTGTGGGGGAGGAAGGGAAAGAAGATTGTTAGCCGCTTTGAGACTCCTTCGGGTAGTGATAAAGCGGGATATCAAATCCAAACTCCTCCTCCTCCTCTTCTGAGTGAGACAAGGATTGAGATCTACCTTTGAGTGAGGGCCTTTTATTTTATTTCCTCTTCTTTGTTTTTGCTTTCAATTTAGATTAATTTGGTTTTTTATTGTATTTTATGATGAAAAGATTCAATAAAATTTATTGGGGGATCTAGGAAAACTTATTATCATTACCCCAGCATCATTATCCTGTCTATTTTTCCATTCTGCCAATTATGTCAAGTGGAAGTGGAGGAACACGGCAAAATGATATCAGGAAACTCCGTAAGTTTGGCAACTTAGTCTAGTACATTTAAAGCAAGCAATGAGTTGCATCATAAATAAGAAATCCCATATGCGAGAGAAAGACTATGTGCTTCTGGTACATATTCGCAAATAATCACATGAAATGCACCACCTCTCCCACCACAGATTTGCATTTCTGCTCACTCATGTAAAGATAAAAAATTAGGTCTCCACTAGGCAGTAACTGAATTCGGCAAAGGACAAAACATAGCAGCAACTAAATGGTAGTAATAAATATAGAAACATGGAGAGGAAGGAACACACAAACAAAAGGTATAGGATTATAACAGACAGGGAAACAGGCATCACTTAGAAGAGTGATTTTCAATCAGGGTGCTGTGGCACCCTGGTGTGCCTTGAAGGGTGGTCAGAGGTCCTGTGAGCAACACTGGCCCCTGCCCCTCTTTCCTTCCCTCCCTCTTCTGATGCCCTCTTACGTCTCTGCCTCTCAACTAGGATTGTGGGGAGAAGTTCAGAGACCAGGGGTGGCAGCAGTGGCTGCCCAGAGGGTTCTCAAGGAGAGGAGGCTGAGGGAACACTCCACAAGGGAGGGTGTTCAAAAAAGGGTGAGGGGCTGCCAGCTCTGCAGGCAAGGGGTGACATAACTGGGCTCCTGAGCCCCACAGGGGTGCCGCAGAAAGAATATAGTTGGTCAAGGGAGTCATGGACTCAAAAAAGGTTGAAAACCTCTGACTCATATTCACAATATTTATCCTCAAAGTACAAAACAAGAACTGCTCGGCTTCTTTGACGATCACATAAATTGAGCAAATGCCACTTATGGTTAAAGTAGAACAAAAAGCGTAACCTGAGAATTTTAAGTAAAGAAATTCCCGATGTAGCAATTGGAGGATAAACGGAGATCATTAAACTCTCGCCATCACTTTGGTACAAGACTAGAGAAAATTCAGCATGCTATAAAACAAAGGAGCCCACAGGCTGCACACACGGAGGTAGCTGGGGAAGAGATAAGAGTGATATTCAAGGATGTTCAACTCAGAGTAGAGTCACTGAATGTAATGAGACCCACAGACATTAATGGGCCCAAGTATAACTTAGTCCAATACCACTCAAAAGTTTCAGACGAGTCTAACAAATTGAAAGTTACCATGAAAACAGGATCACCAGTCATTCTTCTTTAATCAGTGAAGTCCCCATGAGAAATTAAAAAATAAAGGCCATTAAGAGATAAAAGCTTTTGTAAATTTCACAACAACTGCCCACATGCACGACTCGACACAAGTATACCAACAAAAAACACAATCCAAAGTGTTGGTGCTACCAGTACACTTGACATACTTTAAAGTCTTTGTTTTTGTAGGGAAAAACAGGGAGTGTGGCGTGTGCATTCTTACAAAAATCTGATAAACAGATTAAGGACAAAAGAAAAATTTCTCTCTACTTGCATTTCCTCTTGATAATACAAAAATAGCTTCTTACAAAAACAAATTCTCTGCTGCTTAAAATTATGAGCTCCGAATTAAGAGCAAATATCCACACTCCTTTTCATATGCAATGCTGACATGATGTTCGCCCTACAGGCGTTTTAACATAATTGGTTTCTGAAAAGAATTAATGCAAGACTCCAAAAGGACTTACCCAATGTGTCTTTCAGATTTTTAACCAAGGAACCCTTCTTCAAGCTGTTCTTCCTCTCAACATAATTTGATGGCACATATCCTGTTTTGTTGGCTGCGTTTCTTACCCTCCACCATGTTTTGGAATCATCTAACAGCCAGAGGCGTTCATTCTTCTTTATGTCAAGTTCTTGGTCCTGTTGTGCAGTGTAATCCCACTTTGCTATAACAATAACTTCTTCTGTCATCTTTCATGGAGTCCCTCTGTCATGAAACAAATACATTCATTGAAAAACTGCACATACTCCTCCGTTTCACCATTGAAAATTGAAAACATAGAGCAAGCTTTAAAAAGTAAGAACATCCTTGCAGAGCAAAAACGCTACGTTTCTGATGCAGCGCTAAACCACATTCCCGTAGAATAGGTCCAGATCAGCCCCTCACCCTTTTTCTGATCTGCTTCCAACAACTTTGTGCACATGTGGCACAGTTTAAGCAGAAATTTACCTTGCTACCACACAGGTTGACTACTTCAGGATCCTGCCTCAAGGTTTCTCATCACACTGCATCCAATTTGTTGGGCTGCAATTCATTGCAGATGCTGGAAGTTTAGTTTCATTTTAGGGGAGAAGAGATTATAAGCTTCAGGAGGATGTGAAGATTAGAATCAAGACAATGAGAGTGAAAGGAAATACAACTTAAGAACAGCAAGATCAGTCATTTTTGTTTTAATGGAACTCCCATAATATACTACTTGAAATCTAACCTGAACAATGAGTGTGGATGAAATATTTTGCTGAACTTCTCTAATATGATTGCCCATCCTTGACTGTCCACTGCTTGAATGAACCTGTTGTCATTCTTGGGTAAGTTTTAATCGGTTGCTAATGTTTCCTTTTAAAAGAATACAATGACTTAAAATACTCCAGAATTACTATTCTGATCCAAAATCCAAAATTTTGTTTTCTTTTTTTCAAATTTTGACAAAGTAATAATCATCAATAAATAATAATAAAAATGTGCACCCCACCCCCGAGACCATTCCATTGTAACTATTCAACCTCCCAAAATTTCAACACCTGTTGCAATGGTTTGACCCCTTTCCGTTTCAACAATACAAATTCTACAAACACCCTCCATATCTCCTCAAAATAATTTCTCCTGCATATTCCCCATTTGCCTTAATGGCACATGTTAATTTATCATTAACAGCTATATCCCACACCTCTTTATACCATTCTTCCATTTTATATTCTGCTTGCCCCTTCCACTTCCCAGCTATAATAATTCGTGCAGCTGTCAATAAATCTGTGAGCAAGTCCTTCATAGCCTGTAAACCTTCCGCCCCATCGTAAATTGATAATAGTGCTACCTCTGGACTTTTGGTCAGCTTTAACTCAGTGATTTCTTTTGTTTGTTTTCTTTCATCTGAGAAGGAACACATAAATCACAAGAGTCGAGAGTGCTAATGAGCACATAGAAATCCCCATCCCATTCATGTGACAATTGGTTTTCCCCAGCTAGGACAGTTCATTACAATTTCTTTACTATACAGCTAGTCAGCATGTAGAACCTTTGACCCTTGCCCTCTGTCAGAATTCTGCACTCCTAATCGTCTACTGAAAAAACAATGCAAAACATTTCTGCAACCTGAAATGGGCTTTTAAAATGAGGTGATGCAACTCAACGCAAGGGCTGATAAGGTGTCCAAAAGAGCCCCAAAGAAACAAATACTAACTGCTACTAGAAGAGCATATCACAAAGAAAGAGGAAACAAGAGGCAGGTAAAGATGGGGAGGTGTTTGGAGCAAAGAAATTGATTTAAGGATTAGTGTTTAGGATATTGTTCGTAGGCTATAATAGATCATAGCAAGAGGCATATGCATATAACACCCACACCCCCACACACTTCCTTTTCATGCAGACAGTCGTCCATGTTGGTTCATTAGGGGATAAATCCAAATCCAACTGTAACATGCGTTTATTAGGACCAGATAAAACATCCAAGTAGCAGGCATGGTTCATCTTCGTAAGAAAATAACCTTCTACCGCCATGATGGTACGTCGTTTGTGGGGAAATCAACAGGCCCGCTAACCACCAGATCACATCACACAATTGGCTTCTGTTGACTCTATGCACCTAAAATTAATATACAGTTTCGCTTATAGTCCTTTTGCTCTGTCTTGCAATGTACTATTGCTGTGTAATAAATGCAAGAGGAAGATCTAAGTAACTGTGGAGTCATTCCACGTCATGTCAACACGGTCATGTCACCCACCATCTTGGATTTTGGTTGAAGGAACCCCCCCTTAAATCCCCCCCCTCTATCTCATCCTCTTATTGAGCTCTGGGTAAAATTTCAAAGAGATCTGATCATTGGTTATGGAGGGGGTGGGAATGTACATGTGCCCCTCGGCACTGTCTCAAGAGGGACAGACAACGCAGATTTCATGAAATTTTGAAGTGTTATAAAATTAAAACCGTTTAAGATAGAGGAAAAAAACATAAGGGGGTTTCTTTCAACCATAAGGGAAGGGTGTACACCAAGTTTAATCAAAATCCGAGACGCTGGGTGACAAAACCCTTGTTTTTTGCATTGATTTGATGTGGAAAGACCCTGTGACTTATCTTTTCAAAAGAAGAACAGATGTACTCAGCTCGCCTCTGCCTTATACAGGTTTTGGTTCCACTCAGTATTTTGTTGCTACAGTAATGGTCTGTAAGTCTGCAAGCACCTCCTCAATTAAATCTTAATGTATTAACAAATTGCAGAAATGGGCTCCCCATCATGCCTAGTGACATCAACCGGCCCCCCATTCCTGCTTTCCTGACAAAAGGTTTTAATGGACTCAGTAACACCTTGCATTTCAACATAGCAGAAACAAAACTATCTGCTCAGTGAAGGAATGGATTGCAGAACAGCAGACAAAACAGCGGTACTCTAGCTAAAATGACTGTTCTAGTTTTTAGGGTTTTTTCCATGGGAGTTACGCAGAGCTAACACACAGTAATCACAAAATAGTCAAACCACAGGTCAATAAAATGACCTGGCCACAGGGAGATTACAATTGTGCCTGCTCTGGATCCTCTTACTGTCAATACACATTTAGATTAATTTAAATTATTCTGAACATGGGAAGCTGAAATTCTCCCATTAACAACTAGACGGTCAGCATGAACAGTTGCTAGGTTGTCCCCTGTAAGGGCATCCACTCACACGACCAAAACAAACTTAACACTACACTGGTATCTCTGGTTATGTACTTAATTCGTTCTGGAGGTCCGTTCTTAATCTGAAACTGTTCTTAACCTGAGGTACCACCTTAGCTAATGGGGCCTCCTGCCACCGCTGTGCGATTTCTGTTCTCATCCTGAAGCAAAGTTCTTAACCCGAGGTACTATTTCTGGGTTAGCGGCGTATGTAACCTGAAGCGTATGTAACCTGAAGCGTATGTAACCTGAGGTACCACTGTATAACCAAAACCAAAAGCATTTTGCGTATTTTAAAACAAAACGTTTAAAAAAGAAAACAAGTTGCAATGTAACATAGCACTCTCAGTCGAACCAAGGACACATAATTGTTAACCTGAGCAGTCAGCCACATTTGGTCACTGCCAGAATTTTGTGATGGGACACAGGTGGCACTGTGGTCTAAACCACAGAGCCTAGGGCTTGCCGATCAGAAGGTCGGTGGTTTGAATCCCCGTGACAGAAAAGCACATCAAAGTGCAAGTAGATAAATAGGTACTGCTCCGGTGGGAAGGTAAACGGCGTTTCCATGCGCTGCTCTGGTTCGCCAGAAGTGGCTTAGTCATGCTGGCCACATGACCCGGAAGCTGTCTGCAGACAAACGCCGGCTCCCTCGGCCTATACAGCGAAATGAGCGCCGCAACCCCACAGTCATCCAGGATTGGACCTAATGGTCAGGGGCACCTTTACCTTTAGAATTTTGTGATGGGAAGAGTGCCTAGTCTCCAACATTATTCTCAGCTTTGAAGGTGCTTGCAGAATCAATCCACAAGCTCCTTTTTTGTGAGGCCCCATACAATTGCTGTGCCACCACATTATGGACCAAACATTTCTGTGGACACATTCCCTTCAACCTGATCTAGCACAGATCCTGATCTGAACAAGCAAGAGTGTAGTGCAGAAACACAGAGACTATATACTACATGAATGGTAAAGCAATATTAATGCTTTGCTGCTGCTACAGCAAAGTGACTGGGCAAAATCATATAATTGTAGAGTTGGAAGAGATCCTGAGGATCATCGAGTCCAACTCTCTGCAATGCAGGAATATGCAGTTGTTCCCTTACAGGAATCAAACCTACAAGGATAAGGTCCCAAATTTCCAAGTGATGCTAGTATTATTCATTTCTGGAAAAGGCACTCAGCTTTGAATGGCTACTTAGGCATATCAGAACATAATTATTATTTTTTTAAGTTAAAGGCACAGTTTATGCAAAATTAATTTATGCAAAAACAGGCCAACTCCCACCACGACTTGGTGAAACATGCCACTAGCTCCCTCTTAACAGAATTTCAAATATGGATGCTCCCACTGCATAGGACTGAGCAATCTGCGAAACAAGTTTTCCCTCCCTAAACAGTTTGTTGACCCAGATTAAAGCAGAGCAGGATCTCTTCAAAACCATGGTTTGAACTGTAGCACAGAAATAGGTCAGAAGTCGGCTAGCAGAGTTGGAGGAGCCTAAGTTAAACATCAAGAGACACCTGCAAAAACTCGTCCCTTTTTCCAATGTTGTCCTATAATACTCTCCACTGGTATAATATGTCTTTTGGCATGCCACCACATCACTATTAAGATACAGCTTTTTGATCTGACGCTGGAGCAATGGAGGGGGTTACAAGCAGAGACAAGAAAATTGAAAGACAACATGCACACAAGCTTTGTGTTCGTACATTTGAACCTGGTATACATTACAAATATTTAGCATCCCGATACACTGTAATATCCACCACCATATTAGCAGCAATATGAATATGGATTTTATGAATATGAAGTTCATTTACTCTCTTTTAATGTAAATACATCGAGAAAGGTCTACAATTGCAACAGATAAAATTTAGACAGGATTATATTCTCCCTCACCTTTACAACTCTTCCACAGTTAGATACCATTCTAAGACTAAAAATTCCCACAAATGTGCCACCCATTTTACAGTAACATGGTTGGACATACCGTGTCAAGTATCCTAACCCTGTTCACATTGTTCCCCTGAAAT